TACCATACACTGAATTTTCCAGGAATGCAGCTATTATGTAAAATGAGGAAAGAAAACACTTTCTTTGATGCAAAGCTTTTATAAGAAATTTCAGCATTTTGAAAAACCATGTCACAGAGAACAATGCTGTTTCTAGTATTTAAGTCACCAACACAATACCTGTATCCCATGTTACATTTGTAGGTGTCACCTATAAATACATTACAGAAGAGATTTGAGATGCTTTTGGTAGACTTGGAACCAAATATTAAGTTAACAGACATATGAAATGCAGGATTCTCACTAATCAAAGTTGTTTAAAAAGTTAGTGTGGTCATTTTATGTATTAATTTTTATAGCACAATGATGAGAAATCTATCTTGCAATAATTATTTGAAATTGAACTTATTTTGGGGGTGCCTGTCATCTTTAAATCTTACTCTGAAAGTGTCACCAGAGGTCCACCTCACTTCCCTCAACCACTCTTACTACCAGTTCTGTTTCCAATCTACCCACACAGATCAAAGGAACAGAATAGAGAACCCAGAAATAAACGTACACTTACACGGTCAACTAATCTACTAAGGAGGCAAGAATACACAATGGGAAAAAGACGACCTCTTCAGTAAATGATGTTGGGATTACTGGACAGCTACATGCAAAAGAATCAAAATCAACTATTTTCTCTCACCATATACAAAAATAAACTCAAAATGGATCAAAGACTTAAATGTAAGGTCTGAAACCATAAAACTCCTAGAAGAAAACATAGGTGGCATGCCCTTTAACATCAATCTTAGCAATATTTTTTGGATCTGTCTCCTAAGGCAAGGGAAACAAAAGCAAAAATAAACAAATGGGACTGTATCAAACTAAAAATCTTTTGCACAGTGAAGGAAGCTATCAACAACAAAAAAAGCAGCCTACTAAATGAGAGAAGATATTTGCAAACAATATATCCAATAAGGGGTTAATATCCAAAATACATAAAAACACATACAACTTAATAACAACAACCACCAACCAACCAACCTGATTAAAGAATGGGCAGGGGGGCTTCCCTGGTGGAGCAGTGGTTAAGAGCCCGCCTGCCAATGCAGGGGACATGGGTTTGATCCCTGGATTGGGAAGATCCCACATGCCACGGAGCAACTGAGCCCGTGCACCACAACTACTGAGCCTGCACCCTAGAGCCCGCAAACCACAACTACTGAAGCCTTTGCGCCTAGAGCCTGGGCTCTGCAACAAGAGAAGCCACCGGAAGGAGAAGCCTGCGCACCACAATGGAGAGTAGCCCCCACTTGCCACATCTAGAGAAAGCCTGCAAGCAGCAACGAAGATCCAACGCAGCCAAAAAAAAATAATAAAAATTAAAAAATAAAGAATGGGCAGGGGACCTGAGTAGACATTTTTCCAAAGAGGAAGTGCAGATGGCCATCAGACACATGAAAAGATGATTAACAACACTAATCATCAGGGACATGCAAATCAAAACCACAATGAGATACTACCTCACATCTTTCAGAATCACTATCATCAAAAAGACAACAAATAATAAGTGATGGAGAGGATGCAGAGAAAAAGGAACCCTCATGCACTGCTGGTGTGACTGTAAACTGGTGCAGTCACTATGGAGAACAGTATGGAAGTTCCTCAAAAAAATAAAAATAGAACTGCTATATGATACAGCAATTTCACTGCTGGATATTTACCCAAAGAAAACAAAAACAGTAGTTGGAAAAGATATATGCACTCTGATGTTCAATGGAGCATTATTTACAAAGCCAAGATATGGAAGCAACCTTAGTGTCCATTGATAGAGGAATGGATAAAGAAACTGTAGGGGGTGTGTGTGTGTGTGTGTGTGTGTGTGCGCGCGTGCGCACAATGGAATATTACTCAATCATAAAAAAGAATGAAATCTTGACATTTGCAACAACATGGATGGACCTTGAGGGTACTATGGTAAGTAAAATAAGTCAGAGAGAGAAAGACAAATACCACATGATCTCACTCATATGTGGAATCTATAAAACAAAACAAACAAACAAAACAAAATGAAAACAGACTCACATACAGAGAATGGGTCATTGCCAGAAGGGAGAGGAGAGAGGATGGACAAACCAGGTGAAGGGAATTAAGAAGTTCAAACCGCCAGCTACATAATAAATACATCACAGGAATATAATATACAACAGAAGGAATATGGTCAACAATATTGTAATAACTTTGTAGGGGGACAGATGGTTACTAGACTTATCGTGGTGATCCTTTCATAACGTATGCAAATGTCAACTTATGTCATATATCTGAAACTAACAATACTGTCACTGTATTTTCATTTAAAAATAAAATAATTTTTAATGCTATCTTATTTGTGCCCATAGGATTTTAATTTATGGAGGTGACTGAGTGCCAACATAGGCCAATGCTATTGAAGGAATATATTACTTACATATCCCAAGAGAAGGGTGCACACCACACCACACAGGGTTTGTTCAGGAGACAGAGGAGCGAGGGGGAAGCCTGGGCCAGAGCTTTTACTGGGGTTTCCTCAGGAAAGGAAAGGCAGAGCAAAGTAAACAGTGCAGGACTGGCTAGTATGAATTATTCCAGTGGGCTTTGAGCTACAAGGCTATCTCCAGTTTTCTGGTAGCTGGGCCTGGGATGATTTAGGACAGGGAAAATATTGGCTTGGTATGTGAGAGAGTTAGATAAGGAGGTAGCTGAAAGCTACAGATTCAGAATTACATATGAAAGGCATGCTCGAGGCAAGCTGCTGTTAATCTTTAGGAATTGGCCCCGGGGAGGGGCAGTCTCTATACGACTGCAGAGCATCAAGAATGCAGAAAATAAGAAATTACAGTTCATGTAATTGACCCTGTGGTGAAGAGATGACAAACAGACAAATATAGAATCTAAGAAAACAGAACAAATACAAACAACAGAAATTCACAGGCTGATCCTAAAATGTATATGGAAATGCAAAAGGCCCAGAAGAGGGGAAACAATCTTGAAAATTAAAAAACAACACAGAGAACTTACACTGCATGATTTCAGACTTATTACAAAGCCAGAGTAATCAAGACAATGTGGTACTGGCTTCAGGATAGACAAACACATCAATGCAACAGCATAAGAGCAGTCCAGACACAGGCCTACCCATATAGTTGACTGAATTTTCTACAAAGTCCTAAAAGTAATTCAATGGTGGAAGGAAAATCTTTTTCAACAAATGATACTAAAACACCGGAATATCCATATAGGGGGCTGGTGGTAGGAAGGAACAATCTTGACCTTTACCTTATACCATTCATAAAAATTAATTCACAGACCCAAACATAAAAGTTAAAACTATATATGAAGCTTCCAAAAGAAAACACAGACTATCCTTGTGACCTTAAAGCTGACAAAGATTTCTTAAAATACAAAAAATATTAACCATACAAAAAAAAATGATAAATTGGACTTTATTCAAATTAAAAACTTCAAAAGAGGGACTTCCCTAGTGGCACAGTGGTTAAGAATCCACCTGCCAATGCAGGGGACATGGGTTTAAGTCCTGGTCCAGGAAGATCCCACATGCCGCGGAGCAACTAGGCCCATGTGCCACAACTACTGAGCCTGCACTCCAGAGCCTATGAGCCACAACTAATGAGCCCACGTGCCACAACTACTAAAGCCCACGTGCCTAGAGCCCATGCTCCGCAACAAGAGAGACCACCGCAATGAGAAGCCTGTGCACCGCAATGAAGAGTAGCCCCTGCTTGCTGCCACTAGAGAAAGCCCGCACGCAGCAATGAAGACCCAACACAGCCAAAAATAAATAAGTTAGTTAATTAATTAAAAAAAAAAATTTAAAAGATACCACTAGGAAAATGAAAAAGGAAGCCACAGACTAGGAGAAAATAATCATACTGAACATCAGGCAAAACACTCATATCCACAATATATAGAGAACTCCTACGAGTCAATAATATAAAGTCAGACAACTCAACTTGGGTAAAATATCTGAACAGACACTTCACAACTATGAAAGGCCAATATGCACATGAAAAGGTGCTCCTCATCGTCGATAGTCATCAGCAAAATGTAAATTAAAACCAAAATGGTACCACTTCACACTCATCAGGAAAAAGATGTGTAATCCCACATGATGATGAGAATATGTAGCAACTTTCATAAATTGCTGATGCAAGTATAAAATAGTACAACCACACTGAAAACAGACGGGGAGTTTCTTATAAAGTTAAATGTATACCTGCCCTACGACTTAACAATTCCACTCCTAGGTATGTACCCAAATGAAATCGAAACATACGTTCACCAAAAAAACCTCTGTACAAACACATTCATAGCCGTTTTATTCATAAGAGCCAAAAACTGAGAACAACTCAAATAACTATCAACAGACTGAAAACTATGGTATGCTCATACTACTGAATAGTACTCACCAATAAAAAGGAATGAACTACTGATACACATTACATATGGATAAATCTCTGAAACCTTATGTTGAGTTTAAGAAGCGACTTGCAAAAAGCTACACATTATATGATCCTATTCATGTGAAATTCTACAACAGGCAAAACTAAACTACAGTGATAGCAACGAGAACAACTGTTGCCTGGCTGTGGAGGAGGGGGTATTGACCAGAAATGGGCATAAGTGAATTTATCGGCGTAAGGAAAGTAGTCTATAGCTTAATTCAGGTGGTGGATAAGGGTTTTTACATCCATCAAAATATGCTGAACTTGGACTTCCCTGGCGGTCCAGTGGTTAAGACTCCACGCTTCCAATGCAAGGGCCACGGGTTTGATCCCTGGTCGGGGAACTAAGATCCCACATGCCATGCGTCGTGACCAAAAGGTTAAGAAAAAGCTAAACTCTTAACTAATTCATTCAAAATCATTACATTTTATTAAATGTAAATTATACCTTTAAAATGGTAAATTTGTTGCATATAGTAGCCATGTAAAAGTTGCATAACACAGAAATAATATTTGAATAAAAACAAATACCTTTGTCCACCTGCAAAGCTTCACCCCAGAGTGGCTCCCAATCAACTGATAACCTGAATGAAAAAACAGGGAACACAAAGTTGGACTGATTCAAAACCTCATATCAAAAAGTGATTATAAAACTGTAGCAAAGTCATTCTTCTTTGTTTAAATAATGATAGACAACAATCCAATGCCACTAAGGTTTAACTCACCAGGATGATAATACAATTTAAAAGATGTATGCATCTAATAACATGGACTCAAAATACATAAAGAAACAATAAGCTAATCCAAAATCACAGGGAGATATTTTAAGATCTCTCAGTATATAACAGATCTCACAGATCAAAACTCAATAGAGCTCTAAGATCTGAAGCAACACAGTAAACTCAATCAAGGACATAGAGAGCACTGCACTCAACAACTACAGGATGCACATGTTTTTCAAAGACCCAAGAAACACTTACGAAAATGAACCACGCACTGGACCATACAGCAAAAACAACTAACAGTATATTTCAGTACAATGAACGACTGGGGAACTGTCATCAATAATCTTCAAAAATAAATAAAGAATCAGATGGGCAACAGGAGATTAAAATAAATATTGCCCCCAAAAGTGGGAAAAATCAAATTCTAGAAACCTGACATAAATTCTCAGCACCGCTCCACAACCTATTTAAATATTTTGACCCACGTAAGACACGAAAAGCATGGAAAAGCCACGCCAAAGCAATCACATTTCCTTATTTTAACAAACTAGTAGAGCAAACAAGTAGAAAATTCTGATTTCAGAAGACATTTAATAAAGTTTCTCATGAGGCTTCAAGTAATAAGCCACAATTATCATGAGTCTCTTGCGCAAAAAGACTCTTGACTTGCAGATAAACGAGGTAAATGGAGAAATACAGTCTGGATGATGGCATAAATGGATAAGTGGCTGGTTAAACATCCATATTCATAGGGTGATGATTAATGGAACAAAGTCAATTTGGATTACAAGTCTCTAGTGGCAACATTACAGGGCTTTGTCTTCTATCCTCTTCCACATTTATGTAAACATCTCACATATAAATAAAGCACTGCTTATCTACTTGAAGATGGAACCGAGTCCAACTGATCAGCTAATCTCAGATACAGAATAAGCATTTAAAAGATCCCCAGAGAAAATTCTAGTTCTTTTGGACTCCTACATTATATGTTGCTCATACCACTATCATAGAAATCACACTGTATTATATTAGTTCTTTATATCTTTCTCTCCCAAGATACATAGGATTCTACAAAATTCTGCATTTAGGTAGGTATGAAAAGACTGCACAGTATAGGATGGAGAGCCCTGTAGCTGACCACAGTACACACAACGCAGTTACTAAAATTGCAGGGTAGGATTCTGCTTGTAACCAAGATGGAGTAACAGAGTAAAGATTTACTCTCCCACCTGAAATACCAAAAGCTGAACAAAATACATGAAACCACAGTTTTCAGAATACAAAACATCAGGCAACAAAGGAAGATGATCCAAGAGAGATGGGAAACAAACAAGGCTGAGTCCTACCATTACCCAAGCTTACTGCCTTGAAAGTTGCCAGGCTGTGCAGCAGGGAGAGATGACACAAGCAGAGCTCAGTATTCTCCCCAAGTTGAGGACACGGAAGTAGAGAGGGGAGCCCCTGTGGCTAAAGTTTGCAAGACTGAGTACTGGAGAGACAAAAGCTACACAGAGATTGAACTCAAGGGTCTGCAGAGGATTCCTGTAAGTACTTGCTTGAGTACTGCTTAGTGCATACGTGAGAGAAAAACTACCCAGTAATGGGAAGGAACCATCTGGAAAGATTAAAGGCATGCCTGGTACTCACAGCCAGCTGGGAACTGTGCCTGTTCCTACCAGTCAGACAGAAAACCTCAAGATTCCAAGGCACCGGGCAGAGTACACAGAAGTGTTTTGCCTCAATGGTGGGGGAAAAAATTAGCTGTATAGTGAGCCAGCTCTGGTCTCACCCAACAAATCATAAAAGCAAGATGAAAAGGCTCAAGCTGTTTCCAAGTAATTTATCTTCATCCCAGAACAAAGTTCAAGAATGTTTATAGGAATTCAAAAATATCCAGTACCCAAAAACATAAAATTAGAGCTGGCATACAATCAAAGATTACCACGCATGCAAAAAAGATAGGAAAACATGATCAATAATGGAGAGAATAAACCAGCAGCCAAAACTGACTCAGAAATGACATAGATGTTAGCAGATAAGGACATTAAAAGTTATAATTGTATTCCATAAGCTCTGAAAGTTAAGTAGAGACATGGAAGATAGAAAAAGACCTAAACTGAACTTCTAGAGACGAAAGCTACATCTAAGCTGGAAAAATACGCTGGATAGAATTACTAGAAGATTCAACTTAGAGACGAAAAGATTACTGAGTTAAACTTGAAGACAGCAATAGAAACTATCCAGTCAGGTAAAGCAGGACAGAAAAAATAATTTTAAAATATGAAAAGCACATCTGTGAGCTATGGGTCAAATTCAAGTGGCCTATTATACATGTAATTGGAGTCCCCAAAAAGAAGAAAGAGAGGGGGTGGCAGAAAAATATTTGAAGAAATAATGTCCAAAATTTGTCCAAATTTGATTAAAACTATACATCCACAGAACCAAGAAGCTCAACAAATCCCAAGAAGCATGAAGAAAACTACACTGAGACATATTATAATTAAAATCATTCAAAATCAGTTGTTAGAAGAAAATCAGGGGGTAAAAAACATTACATTTGAAAGGAACAAACAAAAGACGACTGCAGAGCCCTCATGAGAAGCACCGTGATCCAGCAGACAGTGGAAGAACACCCTTAAAGTGCAAAAAAGAAAAAAACTGCCAATTCTAGACACATCAAAAAACTAAAAATCCTTCAAAAATAAAATAAAATTAAATAACAAAAAAATCCTTCAAAAATGAAGGCAAAAGAAAGCCTTTTTCAGATATACAAAAGCTGAAAAAATTCATCATCAACAAACCCACACTACAAGAAATGCAAAAAGGAGTCCTTCAGGCAGAAGGAAAAGGCCATCAGACAACACGGACTTATACAGAGGAATGAAAAGTACCAAAAGTAGTAACTACATGAGTCAATATATAAAATTTTTTCCTAATTATTTAAATCTGTAATAGATAATTGTTTAAACCAAAAGAACAGCAATTTAGTACAGGGCTTAAAACATGTGTAGAAGTAAAAGGTATGAAAACAATTGCACAGAGGTTGAGGAGGGCAAAAACAGAAGTACTGAAGGTTCTTCCACTTTACGTGAAGTGGTGTAACACCAAGTGAGGATATACTGTGATACAGGATAGTATAAAACCTCAAGCAACCACTAACCACTAAGCAACCACAGTGCTATAGCTAATAAGCTAACAAAGGATGTAAAACAGAATCATATAATTTAAAAAACTATCTAAAAGAAGGCAGTAAAACAAGAGAAAGGAAATCCAAGAACACATGAGACAAGTAGAAAACAAACAGCAAGATGACAGATTTAAACCTATTATAAAAATCACTTTATTCCTATATGAATGAGACTTAATTTTGCATCAATACTGACAAACTGAACAGTAATCAGAAGTATTAAACGTGATTTGACGTAAAAAAAAAAATCACTTTATTCTACTCTAATGAAAAGGGATATAGGGCTTCCCTGGTGGCGCAGTGGTTGAGGGCCCTCCTGCCGATGCAGGGGACACGGGTTCGTGCCCCGGTCCGGGAAGATCCCACATGCTGTGGAGTGGCTGGGCCCGTGAGCCATGGCCACCGAGCCTGTGCGTCCGGAGCCTGTGCTCCACAACGGGAGAGAAAACAATAGTGAGAGGCCCACGTAAAAAAAAAAAAAAAAAAAAAAAAAGGCATATATATTTCTATGTAAAAAAATCTGTATATTTTTGTCTGTCTCCTCTAATAAGCTGAGAGCTCCTTGAAGGAGATATGTCAAGTATCTTAAGTTCCTCTGCATTGCCGGAACTGTCACATAAAAGGATCTCAATAATTATAGAAAGAGGGAGGGAGGGAAGGAAGTCAGTCTACTCACCCCCAGTTTATTACTCTTTCTTCTACAGGAAACCAATATCATTCGTTCATTCAACTGCAGCCTTCTTCATAAGGTAGGACCACAGAAATCCAGATATACTTCTACATAAAACACTTCTAATTAACCCAGCCTAATATCATATGAGGTTTAATAATTTCCCCTTAATAAACAGTGACGTGTAAAGAAGCCAATGATTGCACCTTCCATCTGCATACCTGAGCCTCAATGATGGTAAAGTACCATCCCAATAAACCAAGCAAAGAAGAACCCTTGCTGGTCCAGGCAGCCAACACACAAGTGATCCACAGAAACAAGACCGTGACTCCTTAAACAGCTACAGCTGCCACGACCACACAGCAGCTGAGCCAACTACAGCGGGACTTCCTTATCTTTGTTCCTCCTGGCAATCCCTATTTTATGTTCCCTCTTTTAGAATGCTTAAGAGTGTAGAATTATAACAGTTCTTGAGGACTTTCACCTTGTTTAGTAAGGGCTTCTCGGAGAGCAGGAGTTATCATAGCTCTTCTTTCACTGGCTTCATTCTTCACTGTGCTCCTGATCAAACTAGTTTCCCCTTCCTGCCGCTCCTTTTCTCTCTGTATTAAAATGAAAAGAATGAAACCCAGAATTGGTAATGGGCAAGTGAAATAACAGCACGACAATCATACACACGTAGCATGGATAAAAGGGTTCATCACGAACCACACAGCCCATAAACCTGTTCTCTTCCAAGTGATCACATTTCCAGTCACACACTGCGCTAAAGACACACAAGGGGCTTTTTTTCCCCCCAAAAAAGTAACTACATATTCAAACACATACATCCACAAAACATAAATCAATAATCCACTTATCTAGATGTCAAATAGTTTTCACAGTCTGAGCACAGACAGCTGCCCAACTTCAGCAAGTTATTTCTCTCAATTTCAATTTCCTCACCTGAAAAGAGAGAAAAGGAATATCTATGGAGCAGAACTGTGTTGAAGATTAAATGAAACAAAATTACCTGGCACAATGCCTGATACATAATAGGACTTCACTAAATTATAGTAGTGCTGGTTATAACATCTGCAAACCCCAAAAACAAGTCAAAAAATTGCTCTGAGCTGCCCAGCCACCTGCTCAGAACCCAAGTCACTCCACCACCTCCACCTGTAGCCCCAAAGGCTTCTTACAGAAGATCCCATGGTGAAAATCTGTCTTCAGTGATAGAAATAAATCTGAAGGATAATATAAAACTGTGTTTCCAAAAAAAAAAAAAAAAAACTGTGTTTCCTTTTGACTTTGGCCACTAGAAAATTCACAGCACAACTCTGATCACTGTATCAGGCCTTGCATCATCCTTGTCTTATATTCTGTCAGTGACGTCATATTACAAGATGACCCCCATTCACCGTTTACATTGATTTCTTCCTCTCTTTTTAAATCTCATTACATGTATATATATTTTAAAGTTACCTCAATACCTTTTTGGAAGACGGTTAAAGTGCTAATTAATCATTTTGAGACAACCCACAAAGTCTGTGTTACACTTCAGAGGAGACATTCATCAGATCTTACTAAGAGCTGCAGAACCAAAATAAGTCACCTGAGCAGGAGCCCTACCACCGAGCCCTAAACTACCCTCAGTGCCTGTCCATTTTCAGTGTCTAGACCCCAGTGAATCAATGAGCAGACTCAAAACAATGCCCTTTCTACCTAAAAGTGACAACACCTCACAGATGACATGATGTCTTGGGTCTGTGTCAAACTAAAACAGAAAAAGGAGGATGATCCATGTTTGAACCTGGGCAGGAGGTGAATAGGGATTTGCTGTCCCACCAGGGACTTCCCTGGTGGCACAGTGGATTAGACTCCATGCTCCCAATGCAGGGGAACTGGGTTCAATCCCTGGTCAGGGAACTATATCCCACATGCATGCCGCAACTAAGAGTTCGCATGCTGCAACTAAGGAGCCCACCTGCCGCAACTAAGACCCAGTGCAACCAAATTTTTTTTAAAAGAAAGAAAAAAAAAAAAAAAACCCATAAGTTTTTTTTTTTTTTTTTTTTTTTTTAAGTCTATTTCAGACCTAAAAGCAAAGATGTGAGCTTGAGTTCCAAGGAAGTCTTGTGGTGGAGCAAAGTGAACTAACCTTGACCTTGAGAGCATTTAAATGTCTGAAGTAATTCCGAAGCAAGTTACTGTAATTCCCTACTAATCATGCAAGAATTGATAGTAGGTGGCAACATCTGCCCTCAAGGGGTTCCCTGGTGGTGCAGTGGTTGAGAGTCCGCCTGCCGATACAGGGGACACGGGTTCGTGCCCAGGTTCGGGAAGATCCCACACGCCGGCGGAGCGGCTGGGCCCGTGAGCCATGGCTGCTGAGCCTGCGCGTCCAGAGCCTGTGTTCCGCAACGGGAGAGACCACAACAGTGAGAGGCCCGCGTACCGCAATAAGAAGCCCACGCACCACAACAAAGACCCAACACAGCCAAAAATAAATAAATAAATTTATTTAAAAAAAAAAAGAATGCCATGGAACACTGTCAATGTCCCAACACTAGAGAAATTATCTATTATAAAATGTGAGTGCAGCTACTCCAGATTCAATCATCTGGACACATAATTCACATGGAAAGAGAGCAGCGGCTATGATTAAAGGTCTTGGGTATTCAGGGCAAAATTTTATCATTCTTTCCCTCTATGACAGTTTAGTCCTATCTTGCATATGCAGCAGTAACTCCATTTCTGAAAAGAAATACAATGGTTCACAGCACTCTCCAAGGAAGTGCAAAGCCCCATTCAAATTCTAATTCTAATCTCCTATCTGCAGACATTTTCCCGTTTGCCCAGAATATAACAACGTAACAACTGACATAGGACCTGTATATTTTTATTTATTTTTTTATAGCCGTTACATAGTCTAAGCAGAAATAAATGAAGATCCCAGAACTGGTCAATCTGGATTCCTTCCTCTCCTGCACACCCATTGGGCAACGCGTGACCAAGTTCTAAACTTTTAATTCTCAACGTATGGGTTCTCTCCAACCACAATGCCACTGCTTTTGCCCCCAGCCTTGGTTTCACCTAAGGGACAACTGCAATAGCCCTGTCTCCAACCTTCCACCCCTCCCCAACTCCCAAACCCATCACACTTGTCTTGAAAGAAAACGCATGCCCTCTCCAAGCTGCTATTTTCTGATACGCAAAACGGAAAACTGATTATAAGCTCACTTCCTAGGCACTTAGGAAAATGACTATAAATAAGTGAGAAGTTCTTTATAAATAGACGGAAATATATGAATCTGCTGTAATAATGGGAGCCAAAAAGTGGTACCAATTCTCTTAAAAAAAAAAAAAGAAAGAAAAAGATATTATACAATATTACCGAATTCATTCTCACACCTTCATCCCAGAAACCACAGTACCACCCCAATATTGCCTAGGATAAAAACAAGACAAAAGGGGATTTGTTAAAGACTTTAAGGTAAAACTTCCACCTAGTTGGTTAAGTGCCAACCTTGGGGTTGAAGAGACGTCACCTTACATTTGAGGGTGAATTTAACACTTAAAGCCTTAAAAATAATTATGAAAGGAGAACCAGCTTCATGCTGTTACACTGCAGTACTATGCAGCCTTATAATCAGAACTGGACACACCAAGCTCCTTTTGTAGACTGAAATGTTTCTCTGGTGAGTAATTACCAAGCATCCGCCTTTATTTCCAAAACTAATGATACTGATACCACTGTTCGTCTGCTTAACCAGAACATGCTGTGGGGAGTATTTTAGCAACATTTATTTACTGCAGGAAGAAAACAAGTAGCAATCTGCTTTACATTTAGAAGCACAACACGAGAGAAACAGAAAATAAACAACCTAAGCCTTGGCAGGCTCTTCCTGACTCCTTGTTCTCTCACCAAACTCCTCAGCTTCCCTTCTGGGGAAGCATAAAAAGGGAGTGAGACAAAGAGATGGAGCCTGGGCTTGGTCCCACCCCATCCGACTCTGGACAAATTGCTTTGCTTCTCTAAGCTTGTGTCCTGCCCTGTAAAATGATAAAGTGGAGGTGACAGTACAATACCAGGGTCTTTGTGAGGACTGAATGAGATTATCTAGTGTACTTGACTGCTCCTAATGGTCTGAACCTACCCTGGAGCTCTCTCTCCCCACACCTCCAGCCCACTCATCCTATTCAATCAATTCACATTGCTTCCCACTGCCTTTAGGACAAAGCTCACACTCTCCAGACAGAGGATGAAAAGGCCTCCAGGATCCTGCCCCTGCCTTCCTTCTCTATTTCACCTCTCCACACATCCCCACCGCACTCCACTCTTAACATACTAAACTGCTTAGAGAGTTCCCCAACCTTGCCATATTCCCCTAACACCCCATCCCCTCGGCACATGGCATGTGCAACGTTTCAAACTCTAGCTCTCTTGTTCTCAGTTCTCACTCCCACCCTTCAAATTCTCTTTGGCCCTAGAATTACTGCCTTGCTGCAGAGGGAGGGGGGTAGAAACTATGGTGGTGTTCTAGTCAGACCAAACATATCCCATTTGAAGATATCTCTTTAGACAATAATCGTTTATTAGTTATCAAGGACATACTATGTGGCAGGCAATAAAATAAAGGCTTTAGATGGATTAACTTATTGTATCTTCAAAACAACTTTATAAAGCAGTTACTGTTATCGTCTCCCACTCTAGCACACAGAGTGAAATAACTTGCCCAGACACACAAGCTGAGATACTGTGACACATGAAAGTTAGTGAATATCATTCAAAAGAGGTCTTACAGTAGGAGTGCTCTGGCCCAACTCTACAGCTGATGCTTTTAGGTATTAGAGCATACTGCTTCCTCTGCAGTAACAACTAAGGCAATTAATGTGATGTAGAATGATGAACAGGCAGAAAGCAGCTCAGGAATCTGCCTGGATGGACCCCAAAGAAAATGCTCCCCGGAGATACGAAAAAGAAGAGCCAAGCAGTAATAACATCCATCACTGAATTTTAGTATACTGTCTCCAATATCAAATGAACACACAGGACACATCTGGAAACCTGCTGTAACCTAAAAATAATGAAAAGCAAAAAACGGGGCCGTTATTTTCATGCTGCGCTGAAGTTGGAAATATATATATATTTTTTTCCCCTAGATCTGATGATTTTATGAGTGATTTCTATGAGAAACCTGAAATATCATAAGCCAGCTGCTTAAAGTTCATAAAGTCCAAAATCATTTTATTTCAAAAAATAATTTACATGGACATCCAAATTTTTCCTTAGTGCTTTTTCTCCAGTGCCCTCTAATGGACATAAGAGGAAAAAGCAAAGGAAAAAAATGGACCAGCAAACTATTCCAAACTTTTACAGTACATGTGAAATTTGCTGAAAGTACATCTTGTGTGTTCTCAGCGCGCACGCACACACACACACGCACACACACACACACACACACACACACACAATGTTAGCAATATGAAGTGGGGATGTGTGGGCTGTGGTTAAGCATTGTACACACATATCAAACGTCACATTATACACCCTAAAAAGAAATCACATTGTACAACCCAAGTACATAAAATTTTATTTGTCAATCATATCTCAATGAAG